ATGTTGCCTGGTCTGATGAGTCTCGATTTCTGTTGAGACATTCAGATGTTAGAGTCAGAATTTGGCGTAAACAGAATGAGAACATGGAACCATCATGCCTTGTTACCACTGTGCAGGCTGGTGGTGGTGGTGTAATGGTGTGGGGGATGTTTTCCTGGCACACTTTAGGCCCCTTAGTGCCAATTGGGCATCGTTTAAATGCCACGGCCTACCTGAGCATTGTTTCTGACCATGTCCATCCCTTTATGGCCACCATGTACCCATCCTCTGATGGCTACTTCCACCATGTCACAAAGCTCTAATCATTTCAAATTGGTTTCTTGAACATGACAATGAGTTCACTGTACTAAAATGGCCTCCACAGTCACCAGATCTCAACCCCATAGAGCATCTTTGGGATGTGGTGGAACGGGAGATTCGCATCATGGATGTGCAGCCGACAAATCTGCGGCAACTGTGTGATGCCATCATGTCAATATGGACCAAACTCCCTGAGGAATGCTTCCAGCACCTTGTTGAATCTATGCCACGAAGAATTGAGGCAGTTCTGAAGGCAAAAGGGGGTCCAACCCGTTACTAGCATGGGGTACCTAATAAAGTGGCCGGTGAGTGTAGATAGATAGAGAGATGATGGATAGATAGAGAGATGACAGACAGACAGACAGACAGACAGATAGATAGATAGATAGATAGATAGATAGATAGATAGATAGATAGATAGATAGATAGATAGATAGATAGATAGATAGATAGATAGATAGATAGATAGATAGATGATGGATAGATAGAGAGATGATGGATAGATAGAGAGATGACAGACAGACAGACAGACAGATAGATGATAGATAGATAGATAGATAGATAGATAGATAGATAGATAGATAGATAGATAGATAGATAGATAGATAGATAGATAGATGATGGATAGATAGAGAGATGATGGATAGATAGAGAGATAGATAGATAGAGAGATGATGGATAGATAGAGAGATGATGGATAGATAGATAGATAGATAGATGATAGATAGATAGATAGATAGATAGATAGATAGATAGATAGATAGATAGATAGATAGATAGATAGATAGATAGATAGATAGAGAGATGATGGATAGATAGAGAGATGATGGATAGATAGAGAGATAGATAGATAGAGAGATGATGGATAGATAGAGAGATGATAGATAGACAGACAGACAGACAGACAGACAGATGATAGATAGATAGAGAGATGATGGATAGATAGAGAGATGATGGATAGATAGAGAGATGATGGATAGATAGAGAGATGATGGATAGATAGAGAGATGACAGACAGACAGACAGACAGACAGACAGACAGATAGATAGATAGATAGATAGATAGATAGATAGATAGATAGATAGATAGATAGATAGATAGATAGATAGATAGATAGATCATGTGTTGTGTCGAAGTCAATTCAAACTCAATCTCTGTATCATGTGCTTATGACTGGTTTCCTCCCCATTACCCTGGCGCTGGTGTGGCCAGAAGCATTAGCGTTCACACACTTACACACTGCGTTCGCTGCCTGAGACTAAATATGTACGATTTCATTTCCCACAAAAACCTGCGTCTGTCTTCTTGAGCCGAGGGAATCTGGTTTATTTAATTCCACAGGTATTTGTCTGCAGACGAGGAACCGTCCCCTGTAATTACGGCTGGCTTTCATCAGAGCCCTGCCTCACCGGTGTCTTCCTCATCAAACACAAACCTGTATTTATCTGACGCTGGCGGAGCAACGGGGTTCACCGGGAAAAGTAAACCGGAAGAGCCAATCCACATCGACTATGAAACGCCACTCGAGAGGGAATCGGTTTTATGCGTCTCTCTCGTTCAAACATCCGCGAGAGAGAAGTGCGAGGCCATTTGCAGAGCGTTCGTCACCTGCAAATACGCTTTCTATTCTTAACAACTGACCGCCAGACATCAATTATTTACACAGGAGGAGAATGAATCTGGAGAGAGAGACCGAGAGGGCGAGAGGCAGCCTTTTAAAGGGGTGGATGATTTCTAACTTTAGTTATACCATGGTCTGGGTGAATACTCGATTCTGATTGGCTGCAGGGCAGTGGCGGTTCTAGAGGGGGGGCCAGGGGGGCCCGTGCCCCTGTGACAAAAAGCTTGGCCCCCCTTGTGGCCCCCCTAAATGTGGAGTTTGAAATAATTTTTACAAAACTGTTTTTTGCTATCGTTGTATGCGTATTATTTTTTATTTTTCTATCTTTGTGGATTTGCATTTTCACGTGACAATTCGCATCACATTCGCGGGAATCGCGGCAGAATAACGCCTGTCTCCTGCACGCGAGAGAGGAGAGAAGAAGAAAGTTGGTAAATGTCAGTTCAGTTGTAAGTTCATTCTTTATGTGCGTATGGGGTGTGCGATGTGTATTGTCTATTATGATATTGTAATCATTGTTTTAACTATGTAGCCTACGAGGCACTGTGAGCTGACATAGCATTTGTCTATCGTCCTTTCACTGCTGTGTGCAGTTCATATAGGCTATGTCCCCAAATTAGTTTTTGTCTTATATTTATATCATATTATGTTCTTATATTAGAATATCACATCAGCAAGAGTGCCGTTTTCCCGTGCACAATTGCAACTGTGATATTTATGTTATAGGCCTACAACAGTTAAATTAACAATAAGTTAACATTGGGAGTTACTTTTTAGACACAATATTGTCAATATTGTTTGTTTTCCCTTTATTTC